TTTCTGATAAACAAAATAATAAAAAAATGTTTTATAAACAAATAAAGAAATTATGTGGAATACTAAAATATCCAAAAAATGTTACTTTTTTATTGGTATGTTGTGTAGTATGAAGTTCAATAAATTTCAATAAATTTATTATTCTATGTTTAACTATTTGAGTCTCGGGATAAGAATGGTGAAATGTAAGGAACTTCTTAGGGCAATTCTAATTTTTTTTTTATACCCTCCACTAACAACCTAGAATGAGTAATTAAAGCATTTTCGTTAGAAAATGCGTTTAGGACCATCAACAACACATAAGTCTCTGTATTTGGGTTCCTCAGATGGTAGAAAACGTTAGACAATTTGGTATGGAGGTATCGACCCATTATCTACACTTTTAAAATCGCCAAACCGCATTTTCCAAATGTATGTTTAAATAATCCTCCATTATATAGACCCGCCCAATTCTAGATTTATTTCTAGCCTCATTTTTCCACTGGAGTAGCTGATATTCCATATTTCGTGGTCTCAGATGATAATTAACTCCCATTTACATTGTTGAGTAAAGCATATATTAGGTTGGGGAAAAAGAATTTCATTATTTTTATACGAACTATTAGACATTTTTGTTTTGCTGTATGATTTGTTGCCATTTTAAAGGTAACTTCATAAAGCCTCTCCCATAAATGTCCTGCTCTCTACTTGCAAAAAACTCAAGTAGTAGATTTTCCTAATCCTCCCTATATACAATTTTTATCATTGAAGAAATTTTGCAATGCAAGAAAAAAATGATAAACTTTCCAAAAGATGATAAACTTTCTGGCGAGTCACTGTAGATGTGTGTGGCCTAGCGTTGTCCTGGTGGAACACGACACCTCTCATGTTGGCCAATTCTGGTCAATTGCCTTCTTCAAACGGTCTAGGTGTTGAAAGTAGAGATCAGCATTTAGTGTTTGAAAATTTGGAAGCAACTCGTAAGAAATAATCTCCTTCCAGTCCCACCAAATGCATAGCAGAACTTTCCTGGCCGTTAGTCCTGGTTTGGCCACCGTTAGAGGTGCTTCACCGCTCTTTGACCACGATCGTTTTCGCACTGGGTTATCGTATGTGATCCATTTCTCATCTCCCGTCACCATCCTGTCGAGAAATGGGTCTATCTTATTGCGTTTGGCCAAGGCTTCGCAGATGGAAATTCGATCCATCCTATTTTTTCTGTTGATGGTTTGGTACCCAAACATCAAGCTTCTTTTTGAATCCAGCTTTGCGTAATTGGTTTAAAACAGTTTTATGGTCGATTTTTAGGTCCTGGACGATGTTACCATCTAACATGAGAATATCAATGGATTCATTTCTCCGATTTTATCTACATTTTAATAATGGATTTGGGTTTTCAAAAGTTTGCTCCTTTTTACAATTTGTTGCAGAAAAATTGCAACATGTTCCTGGTATGCTTTTCTGCCTGCCTGCCTGCCTGTCCTGGCAATTGAAACATAATAATTTTTCATTCTAAAATCAATTTCAAACAATTTACTATTATTGTTATATAAATTTATATCTTGCAATAAAAAACCTATTGTAAAATTAACAAAACTCTATATTTACCACAATAAAAATTTATTACCCCCAAAATATCGAAAAAAAAAAACATTTGTCGAAATAATATTAAAATTTCTTTTAGAAATTCTATTAAAATGTAATTTAGTTTTTTTCGTTTTCTTCATGTTTCTTTTGTTGTATTGACTGGCCTCTTTGTTATATTGTGAATGAAAAAAAAACTATATTTTTTCTTCTTCATTGGATCACAGAATATAGTCAACTAAAACCAATCAAAACTTTTTAAACAAACATTTAACAAATCTATTTTATAAAAATAAGCAACTACAAAAACAGAAAAAAACAACTCACAAAAACTCCAACAGAGCAATCGTTATTGATGAAACCCCCTACAAAAAACCCAAAATCGACAAATGAAACAAAAACTAAACCTCTACCGCAAAGAGCCAGATAAAACGAAAATCATCGAGCCAATTGAATGTTATTCGAAAATAAAAATGAATAAAAAATAAATTGCCATAAATACACCAAACTATTTGAAAGTCATAATAAAGTTTAGAACAAGTTTCTGTTATGTGGGGATGGGTGGGAGATTTTTCACCCACATAATTCCCAATCACTTTGTTGCTGCCATTTCACCATTTTTTTTTGCAAAAAATATTTTTTGCCTTACCCCTCCCCCGCTTCATTACCACCCAAACAAAATTTGACATAATTTGAATTTAGCGTCAATTTGACAAAGTGACATTTAAGGGCTGTACCCTTGTTATAACCACCAGATCAAGGGAGCGAAAAAAACAACAACAGTGGAAAACAATCAAAACACAATATTTGATAAGCAAAATTTATGCAAAATGCAAAAAAAAAATCACAACTACCATAAAATCGTAGCCGAAAAAAAGAAATCAAAATCCAATTCATATTTTGTTATAGAAAATATTTGCATGTGTGTTTATGTGTATTGGGGTGGAATGAAGAAAATTGGCACATATCTCCTATGAGTCAATGAATGAAATGAGAAAATTGGATTGTTTAAATAGTATTTTCGTGAACATCCATGGAATAATATGCGGAACTTTTCTAATATAAAATCTCAAAAGTTCGAGTCGACCTTGTGACTTTCAGTTCCTAGATTCCTAGATATTTCTTACTAGATTTCGAATTCAAATCCATACTATAAATCCATAATAATCTTATTTACCAATCGAAGAAGATGGGGTTTTAGGGTGTAATTTTGGAAAATTGTCAGTTTTGGCTATATGTCCATTAAAGGTGCTCTTTTTAACAGAGAATCGGAATTTCGAAAAATTGGCCGACTTCTCACTCTTTGAAAAAAAAACAAAATGTAGATCTTGGATATATTACAAAAGTTATGAGCTCTACCTTATATATATCCTATAAGTAGGTTAAATATTTAAGGACCCTTCATTCATCATCGAATAATAATGTTTTAAGAATATAAAATCTTCAACCGAATTGTATACCCTAATACCCAACTCATATTCAAATCTATATATGATTTTCACTCACACACATTTATCAGCTATTGTTGTATGAAGAAAATTCCATAAGCAACTAACAAAAAAATATTATATTTTGTGGCATTTCTCCCCTTCATCACAATTTGCAGACATTGTAGTCGCTTCGTTTTGTGAAAGGTAAAAAAATTTGGTTGGTTTGAAAACTTAGTTGCGTTTTTTGCTTGTTATGTGTCTACCTTTCTCTAACCAACGTTCGTTGTTACTTTTACCATGATAATGTTTAGTCAATAAAAATGATTTGTCAAATCACGAAATTTGATATAACAAAAAACCGTGAAAATAAATTACACCAAACCACCAGAAAAAAACTTACAACAAATAGCAGTTTTTTTGGAGTAGACTATAAAAAAGGGCAAATTGGAGTTGAAATGAAGTTGAATGTGAAAAAAAATATATATTTTTTTAGGTGTACTCTAGGAAAATAGACACCCACATTGGAGAATTTTAGAATCGTTCTAAGCTAACTATAACTTATTTTTTCTCCGAAAGACAATTAGGATCGAAATATAAATGTATTATATTGAAATAGAACTTATAAACATGAGTTAGAAGGTTCGTGAAATATAATTATGACCATCTTATGCCTTCCATATCCCCACTAACATTTTTAATTTAAAATATCGTCGAAATCGCTTATAACGAGGTTTCACCGGCGATAGTGGTAGAGATAAGCGGCAAAAAGCAGATCTTTTTTTCCCGTCTTTTGGACATTTTTGGTCACACTCTTTACAACCAATATATCTTAAAAACGGTGTCGTTATAAACGATTTCGACTGCAAGCATAAAAATTAATTTTTTTTAAGTGGAAATACTTTTTAAGTTGTTATCCACACTTTACATAAATTTACCCCTCACATTTCAATATATTATCCCTTTATGTCCAAAATTAAATAAATATTTTTTAAGAAAAAAATATTTCCTTAACAAATTTATGAGGTTTTGTTAAAATTACCACTCCTCATAACGCAATGAAAGTATTTTCGTTTATTCCTTTTTTTTGTGAAACCCAATAAAATATATTGCAGCTTGAAGGGTAAGAAAGTTGTATTTGCGTAAACTTCCTATATAAATTTTTTGTGTTGCTTTACAAAAATTGAGACATAAATTGTGATATGAATTTCCCGGAAACTTCATTTTTTTGTTAAGGAAGAGACAATTTTTGTTGACAAAAATATTTCATAAATCACAAATATTCTGCTGCTTAAAAATAAGTAAATAAACATTTATTGCGAGCGGAAAATAGGTACAGTGGTTCAATACGATATAATAAAACCAAAATTGAAAACTAAAAAATTAGAACCTGTAAGAATATCCTATGATTCAACAATATTTCACTTTTTGAATACTATTTTGAAATTTTTTGTCCGTTTTTGTTTTCAGATATTAGAGGAAAAATGAGAATGAATTGTTCAAAATTGAAAATATATTTTATCCTTTTTCAACACTGTATCTTCCCTGCATATTATTCACAAAATTCTCAAAATACTAAGGGGAATTCAAATGTTAAATTTTGTACAAAGTTATGTTAACTTCATTTGCATTTCCTTTATGCCAAATAAACAACAACATCAGCCCATAAATCTTTGTCAGACTAAATAAAGAAAAAAGAGGGGTCTGCTGCCTGCTTAACCACTGATTGGGTTATTCACATTGATATTTGGTTAGTATCCCTCTCCTGCCACCCCCAAATTCTCACCATTATTGGATATTTATTCAACACCTAATTTAAACTGATTGAACGTAATTCTTGATGTTGTAATAAATTGTTAAAGGAAATTGTTTAATTTCCGTTTTTATTTAGTTTTGTGATTGTGGAGTTGTTTTTACTCCTTTTTGAGAAGTTTTAAAATAAAAAAAATGTTGTTGAATTATCTTTAGATATTTTTTCTTTTGTGAGTGTGAGTAACAAAAAACACTTACCTGTACACGAACTTCGGGCAAATTAACTTTCATGGCCAGCTCTTCACGGGAATATACATCGGGATAATGGGATTTTTCAAAAGCTCGCTCCAATTCATGCAGTTGATAGGTGGTGAATGTGGTGCGATTGCGGCGATGTTTTTTCTTGGAACAGTTATCATCCTGGCCTGGAAAGCAATGTAATAAAATATGTCACAAACTTTTAATTATAAGTTTAAACTATTTCTGGGAAGACCTGTGGACGACCAATGATAATCCGTAAAGTAAATTACAGAAAAAATTCCATAAGAGTTCGGATGAAAAATATGTAAAATTATGCACGAACTTTACAAAATATAGGCTTATGGCAAAATTAAGGCCATTTCCGCTCAGGATTAAAAATATTTTTTTGAGGTTTTTAACCTCTAAGACCCCAAATTAAAGACAATCCTATGGGAAATTTTTGGAAATAGCATTGTAGTGTCGATCCGAAACGACATTTCACTCCAATTTTTAAAAGCAGTAGTGCTTCAACAAACCACCCCCACCCCGATTTAACGAAAGAAGTTTCTATTCGTACACATTTTTAAGTTCCCACCCTGTTGAATACTTTACAATATTGAAAATTCTTTGGAATATATTGAAAACTTTACATACCTTCATCATCACTTCCCGAAGTGATTTTTTCACCCTGTTCACTCGAATTCGTTTGATTGAGATCTTCACTGGAGGCACAACTACCATTCATTAAACTATCATTATCATTCAAACGATCCGATTGATCAGTATTAGAACCATTCATAGCAGCACCTTGGCCACCAGACGCCATTGCTGACATACTACGACCATATTCCTCCAAATGTTTTTGTTGCTGCTGAGAATGACCCGATAGATGTCCCGCCGATGAATTGTTGTGTTGATCAAAATTTCCATTAACTGGGAAATTTTGATTTTGCATATCTTCTAATGATCGAGGCCGGACAGAACCATCAAATTGTGATTTCATAGAATAACCACCTCCGTCATTACCATTCATAAGGGACTTCGAAAAATTCTCGGCATCATTCGTATTGTTGTTATTGTTATTATTTGTCAGAGAATTCATATCATCACAGTAATTTGAGATCGATGAATTAGATTTCCTCTTTAAACCTGAACCATTGCCAAAATTATGCATTGCCGCAGTCATTTGTGGTGATTGTGGTGAAGAGGAGGTAACATCAATGTTATGGCTATCATTGTGATCGTGTGGCTCCTCATCGTCGGTTATATCAGCATCAATTTCTCCTCCATTCGATAGTGAAGACATTGAACGCTCATCGTATTCGTGTAGATTGGTGACGCCACCACCACTGCCAGCTCCACCATTAGCACTGTAGAAAGAGGAAGCCGCCGCTGCCGACATTTGATTAGCCATTGTCGAGGCTACCATTACTGCTGCCGCAGCTGTTGCTGAACTCACCGCCGTAACAGAGGAGGATGTCGCTGATGAAGAGCCGCCACCAGATGACTTGGCAATTTTGTGATCATGTTGGGCCTGAGCATGGGCCGCCAATGCAGCCAAATGTTGTTGATGACTGTGATAGACACTGCCGGAGGGAGGTGTTGGCGGTGTCGTCTGAGGCGTCATGGCATGCGAATTCAGATCATTGCTGCTCAATAAATTATTAGCCTCGACCATTTGATGCATTGAATTCAAATAATCATTACTTGTGGCCATGTGGGCGGAGGGGCTGCCCAGACGACTGCTGCCACTGAGGCCATTAAAATCATCTCTATTATCTGCAGGAGAACTGCCACTATATGAACCTAGATTCGCATGATGCAGGTGAGCAGCATTGTGATGATGATTGGGAGTTGCTGGAAAATGTTGATGGTGGAGGTGTTGTTGTTGCTGCTGCTGGTGATGATGTGAATGGTGTTGTTGTTGTTGGAAATTCATTAGACTATTGTGATAGCTGAGATGTGATTGCTGTGAATGATGTAGATGTGGAGGTGGTGGAGCTAAATACATGGCAGCTGCAGCAGTCAGTGAACTTGGATGTGAGGCACCAGTAGCCCCATTAGGTGAGGGTAGGGAAAAATTGCCATTGTTGTTGCGTTGTTGATGTTGTTGCATTAATGTGGCCATGTGATTATCCATGTTGCGCAATTGTGCCAATGTTTTGGTGGCGGCACAACGAAGATCGGTGGCGTCATCGGAATCATCTGAAAAGGCAAAAAAAGGAATAGAGAAATGTAATTTTACAAATGGAGAAGTAAATGAAATATATGTTGTCTGTGAGGTAATAGCTTTCAGAGTTGTGTGTTCGAGAAAGCTCCGATTAGATAATTTCTCTGGAAACTATTTCAAATCCGAATGGGTTGCAAGATAATCCTCCTAGAGCGTGAGGTGCACATTCAAAATACCCAAAATCGATTCGGAATTTCAAAATGTGTCGTTTTAAGTGTGTGCAAGGAGAAAACGAAATATTAAACTAAAGATCATAATATTGGAAAATAGGATTCCCAGTCCTCGAACATTCCGAAATCCTACAAATTCCAACGTTGACTAGATCTATGATTAGTTAATACTCTCATTGTATTTTTAGATAAGAAAATACCCCTTAGTCCTCACATAAAGGTTATGCATTTTAGGTTTTTTTTGTCGCCATTTCGGGAGATGGCAAAATTGAATAGGTCGATATAAATGTCCTTTGCCATTTTCAGTATGTTGAAGTTACTAATCAAATTTTGAAGTTCTTAATTAAAATTTTCTCAGAGAATTAAAAATTCGTTGAAGCAATTTGACCGGATGTAGCCCCCCATACAAAGCTTCTGACCGATTTTAGGTATTTTGAATACATTCAAATGAAGCGAATGTATACCTCCTGATCAAATTTTCCTATCTGTGTCTGTTAATTGTTATTTCGTTTTCTGAGAGGATAAAAAACCTCCGTTTACCTTAAATGGCCACATTTTGAAATTTATTAAAAGTTCAGCCCTTCACAACCTTTGCATTGCTTTTTTTTAATAATAACTCGTAAATTATTTGTCCAACTTCTTTCAATTTTTCTTTCAGTGTATTTGGAATGTCGTTGTGCTGTAACGATATCTACTTAGCGTTAACGATTAAATGACATTCAATTAGACGCCGTTTTATATTTACAATGTGGCATAATAAAAATTTCCAAAACGCCTGACTCAATAAAATTTAAACTCTACTCCAAATAACAAATTAACTTATGGAACCAACAACAAAAAATAAGAGCAATAAACCGAAAATAAAACAACAACCCAAAAAACCGAAACCCTTAGGAGTAGAAATTACAAATCTGTAACTATAGTTTATTGAGTGGGCTACTACATTCTTGTTTTTTGGTTTGTTATTTGCTTTTTGAAAAGTTGTTTGCCACAAGGCAAATACGAAAGGAGCGGTGGGTGTATCATGTGACATGCAAGGAAGTCATTAGACTTGGCTATAGAATCGAGACTATAACTGAACTGAACTAAAAATTATAAAGGAGTAAATGGTAGGGAGGGCATGGGATAGAAGGTGGGTTGGTTGTTAATCGTCTGGTAGGAATAATTTCTTCAAATTATTTTTGTTTTTCTGGGAGAATATATAAAACCACTAAAAAAATAAGGTGTTTGTCCCAACAACATTGACACCAACACCACCACCCCTACTAGCCCACTTCCACTAAAAGCTATTTTAAAGAACCACTAACAAATTGACTTTTTCCAGTTGTAATCAATTTGTTTGGTAAGTGTGTTTGTGTGGTGTCCTTCTGGCTTATTCCTGCCTCTGTCGTCTATGCCATTAGCCTTGTTGGTGCTTTTTCAACCATATTGTAGTTCTTGTTGCTGAAGTTCTGTATATCAATCCATTTAAGCGACGTATGCAATTACATTGTTTAACTTCGAATCCAATTAATAGTTTTCGACAAAAATATATAATTATGTTGTGTTGAGTAATTGCATTTTGATGATATGTCTGTGAGTGAGCGGACGAGTGTGTCTGCCTGTCGGTGTGTGTATGCAAAGTTGTGGGTGGTTTGTTGAATAATATTTTATTTACAAAGTAACCTTGCCACCAATACTAATGGCGTTGGTTGGTTGGTGAAATGCTGATCTACCTTTCGTGTTTAGGATATTATATAACCCTTAATAAGTGGTCTCTGATAGTGTTATATTAATTGATATGTTATTGATTTAAAATTATAGTTCTGCTGGCTAATGTTTTCAAGTTCGATTAATTTTTACACGTATGACCTTTTTGTAAAGAAATAAAAGGAAGGTAATACGAGCCGCAAAGGCTATGGGTATTAAAAATAGGCTACGGGTATTCAAAAATATAATATTTTGCCCCATCACCTTAAGTAACAGAGAGCTGAGGAACCGGAAAATCCAAGAATAATATAAAAGCAGATTTAGAGATGAATTAGCCGCACCATTAATTACATTGCTCATTTGCAGCAAGATAACATAGGGGTATAATAAAAAAATATTTTTTTTATAAAATAAGTTTTATGTGTTTAATTTATTCACTCCTTGCAAGGAACAGAGCAACTTATACACCTTTTCAATCAGATTGTGTAAGAGATATTGATTTAAATTTGTTACACAACATGAAGTCTCAAGATTTTTGATTTATGCCGGTCTTGCAGAAAATGAGCGATGTTATTATAGCATAACCAGAGTGACGATTGAATGGAATCTCCGAGGATCACGAATCTGAGGTCGACTTAGAATTGCCTCAAAAGACCAAGATAAAAATCGAGTTAAATCTTTATGTCCCAATGGAGTAACAGGAGAACAAATTTAAAGGTATATAGTCGGAACCTAAAACATTGTCAGAGTTCATTAAATTTTCTTAAATTAAAAAAAAAATAACATAAACTATTGTGTAAATTGTTATGTCCTTTATTATCCATATTTAATATTACGTATTTTTTCCATTACAAACTACTGCTACTATTTCCAGCTTCCTTATAGCAACCTCAAAAGACCCTGTGTGGTCTTCTCTCCATCTCTTTTTGTTATTTAATTTTACTTTGAATTGTTAAAAATTATAATTCGTCATGCCTATTTTTTGGGGTTAAAGCTTCCAGGTGAGCTACTTAATTTGTTTTATCTTCTGAAGGGGTACGTCGTATGGTGTGGAATTTGTCTATTCAATGGCTGTATTAATTGAGTGTGTGCGTTGTTGTTGTTGCCGTTGTCTATAGTGGTTGAATGGTGTTGTGGTTATATACAATTAATTCTCATCATAATTTCCAGTTAATTATATTATTAAAGCGTTTAATTTGTTCAAACCATAACCTGCTGAGTTATATAATTTATAATTTTCAAAAAACACAAAAAAACGAAAGAGCAGGAGTTGGAGAGGGAGAGGGAGGGAGAGAAACACAAATGTATCAACAGACCGACATCAATACAAAATTAAAATACTCAACATAAACATTGTTATAATTTTGTTGTTATTTTTGCAAAAAAAGAAACAATGTTTCTTCCAATGCAGAAGCTGTTTTTAATAAAGAATTCTTTTGTTATTAACAACGTGATAATTTATAAGAAGAGATAAAGCAGCGAAAGATATCATTAAGGTCGGCCAGGCCGAAAATTTTATCATGAGGTAGATATTCAAAATACTTAAAATCTCAAAATCCTTAAAATCGATAGGGATTTTTTTGGGAGGCTATGCCACAGTTTTTTTAGGAATATTGGACATTCAATAAAAATCTAAAATAACAAACTATATAAAATTCGCTTTAAAATCGTGCTCATAATTCCAAATAATGGGGGTAGCGTTACATGAGGCCTAAACCAAATTGATTGTTTTTGGTAGGAAGGTTTTATACCCAATGAGAATTCAATTTTGGGAGGGGGCTATCTAAAAAACGAAGATCAATATTAATAATTTGTGAAAGGAAGATTTACTACCCAATGAGAACCGATATTACAGATAATCCGGTTGAAATCGGTGGCATTGATATATTAAAGCTGTCAAGGTCCTGTCAAATTTAGATTAAAAACACGAATCGATGTTGAACCTGTTTTAGCAAAGAAGTAGTTTATCATCTGATAAACTAAAATATCAAGGAGCTTCTATCGGATATTCCTAGGTCTTTCGCTAGGTCCTTCGCAAAATCTAATATAGAGTGCATCTGTTAGATGGATGTCATGTCAAAATATAGAGTTAGTTGAACATCATTTGAAAATGACAAAATAACTTCAAAATTTTTAATATCGAAGGAACCTTAAATGGGGCTATGTTTAAACCTGGAGCCATATTGCAATATTTCGTTTATGAAGATTTATCCTCTGAGAAATAACTTCGAAGTATACAATATGTGATTGTAATGTCACTAGGACTTTAAATTTCAGAACGGCCACATACTACGTCAATAATAGACCTATATTAAAAATTAAAGCCCTACATTTGTGTCAAATTACAAATAGTTCGGTTTGAAAATGAGGCTAGTATAAATGTTGTAATAAAAATGTTCAATTGGGATATCCTTAATTATAGACACCTTGGTTTAAAAATGAGGCAATGATCATTGCTTAAATCGATCAGGAACCCTATGCGGAATCCTCTCAAAACATGGAGATACATAGTATATTTTCTACCAAGAGAATTTATGCTATATCCTTAATTACAGACACCTCGGTTTAAAAATGAGGCTATGATCATTGTTTAAATCGATCAGGAACCCTATGCGGAATCCTCTCAAAACATGGAGATACGTAAAATATTTTTTACCAAGAGAATTTATGCTCGGAAAATGCAAATTATAGGAAATTCCAGTAGGACCATAAAAAAAGAAATAAGTCGGGACGTTCAAATACGAGAGTTACGTCAAAATATAGACCTTCCACAATAAAATTTCCGAAGAGAGGAATTTTATTTCTTAAAATGCATAAATGTTTGAGAATCAGTGTAGAACAGTGTTGGGCAAAAATGAATTGAGAGCCAATGTGTCTGAGCGTAACAGAGAATTGACTATTAAAAACGACTGACATAAAGAGAAAAAAGAGAACATATGTTTAACCATCGACCCTCAGTTACGGTATATGGGTAGCATGTCTAGTCTAGAAACATAGATATTCCTAAAATCGGTCAGGATGAGGCCTCACATTGTGTTAGAAAACGCGGTTATTAAAGGACTTGAGAGTGGACCAACCCTACTGTTTTCAAAATACATATGATTGAAAGATATGTA